TAATAATGATTGTGGTGTCAGATATTTTCTATTGGCACTGTCACCAATTTCAATCTCTCTTATCGTCTCCCCTAATACAATGGGAGAAAGATTAAAACCTTATTTACCACTCTTCTTTACAGATACAGTTCTGGGTGCATTTTAGTTTCAGTCAATGAGATCACTTATGTTAGATTTGGAAGGTGGAAGGCTTGCTCTCTGCAGATACAGGGAGATAAGTAGGCACCAGCAGAGGTGAATGTTCATGACCTATGTTCGTGAATGTTCGTGACTCCATGTTCCATCATCTGTTACCAGCTTGAAGATGTGAGGATGACACCAATGGTAGACACAGATTCAGGTTCTTGATTTCTGGATTCTAGTTAGTGATGTGACCTCGAAGCCCAATGTTCACTGCTAGCCTATGGATGCTGCATCTCAAACCTTTCCAGTGATTTTGTAGACCCCTATTCTCCATGTTAAATCCTTTCCTTATAATACCTAGAATGGTGCAGCAGACTGACTGGCTGCTCACCAACCTGTTTTCTGTTCTGCTCTGTATCCACAAGACTGTACGTTTCCCCAGTCTCCCTTACAGCTTAGCTGTGGTCCTATGGTAATGGATTGTGAGCAGAAACACTGGGCATCTCTTTCAGACCAACCTCCCATGTAAGGTCCTCCATGCTCTTTTTTCCCTTCTAGCTGCTCTGTGCAGACAAGCACAGTGACCTTGGAAGTCACAGGTGGAATGAGCCTGGTTTCCTGAATCACTGCTTGGAAGAGATCACCTTTAAAGAGAAGCATTCTTCTACACAGTGACACCATACAAAATCATGACTGAATGTGAAGGGGTAAAAAATAAGGTGTCGGAAATGTGGGAAATGTTAGAAGCAACAACAAAGACAAAATGGTAAAGCCAGTGGTCATTGAAGTAAGGGAGAAAAAAGTAGGCTACTGTGCTAAGCCCCTGAGATAATTAGGTATATTTACTAAAGCAGTTAGTAGCACCCCAGTTAAGACTGTTTCTGCTTTTATCTCCTACTTGGAACCCTGACTTACAACAGCCACCAAGGATGAAAGAGAAAGTCACCAATAATACAGATGTAAAGAACATTTGGGGGATCTGGGGTGTAGCACAGTGGTAGAGCACTTGACTAGCAAGTGCAAGGTCCTGGATCCACAGCACTGCAAAAAAAAATAAGTAAAATTTAGAAATTAAAAAAAAAGTATTATCCATAAACAAAAAGAATGCATGAGTTGGCAGGATCCAACCAAAAAAAAAAAAAAAACAAAACAAAAAAAACGAGATTTGGCACCTCTGTGGGGCAATCAATGTGTCAGTTAGCTTACTTGTGTCCATCATTTCACAATGTATATGTAATCAAAGTTGTATACATTGAATATATATAATTTTTAATTATTTCAATAAAGCTAAAAAGAAAGGAATGGAGATTTGAGATTCTTGAAGTCATGTACATTTCCTAAATGGAAATATAGGAATCCAAATTCCTTAGATGGTGTTTTGGTTAGCTTTTGCATTGCTGTGATGAAAATACCAGACAAGAACAACTTAGAGGAGGAAACGTTTATTTGGGACTGATGACTTTCAGAAGTGTCAGTCCACAGATGGTCAGTTTCATTGCTCTGGGCCCAAGGTGATACAGCACATCGTAGGGGAAGGGCCCAGCAGAGGAAAGCTGCTCAGCTTATGGCAGTTTCAGGAAAGAGAGGCTGGGGAAAGGGGCTGCAGGGAAGATGCACCCTTCTGGGACACTCCTCCAGTGATCTACCTCCTCTAGCCATGCCCTACCTTCCTGTAGTTACCACCTAGACAGTCCATTCAAATCAGGATGGACAGATTAGGTTACAGATCTCATAATGCAATGATTTCACCCCTCAATATTCCTGCATTAACACAGGAGTTTTAGTGGGACACCTCATCTCCAAACCATGAGAGTTGGCAGATAAGCCCTGGCCATTAGTCTAACCTCAATCTCTGCCACCTTCCACATCCACTAAGTTCCAGTCGAGCTACTTGGAAGTTCTCAACTACACAACAGGTCCTCATCAGGGGGCCTGAGGTCTGGGAAACTCTTCACAGCAGAACTCCTTGCTCTAAGAGGTCCAGGTGGCACCCAAGAAAAGGATGGATTGAAGGTCCTCTTTCTCACTATGGACCTTGATTCCAAGAGCTGTTCCCCGGGAATGAGTTCCAGGAACAGATGCAGACCTCAGAGGCAAGTGAGTGCATCCCAAGCTACAGATGTGGGGCCTGGCAACTGAACCGACAACTCAAATAGCATCCCTCCCAGATGAGCCAGGCCAGCTGGTCTGTTCCACTGCTCAGGATCGTGCCTTAGAAACATGCCTTCCTTTTATTTTCTGATGTGTCAGAATTCACCCTTTCATTGTTCCGGAACATTCTGGAGCACAGAAGGCTAATTACCCTTCGTAGGGTGACATCTATTTGAGATGAGTGAAGGCTCAGATCCAGAACCTCCCTCCCTCTGTCATCCTGAAGGTGGCCACAGAGCAACCCTCAGTCCCTCCTTTGCCAGGCTTTCCTTTTCAGTGGTTCAGGAATCAAGAAGAGGAGAAAAGCACACTATAGAGATTAGTGATGTAAACAAACCCTAAGAGGTAAATATATTTTACTGAAAGTGGGGTACCAAGTAAGTATCTCTGGTCTGAAGACTGATACTAGAGAAAAGCAGAAAAATTTATGCATCTGTTTTAGTCTTAACCATAGAGCTTGATGAAAACCTTCACTTGGGCTTGAAGGGAGAAGGACAGCAGGCTCTGCTGCTCCTGTTGGTCTCTGTTTTGGAGTCAGAGCATAGCAAGGTGAAGACAGACCCATCCGAAGGTGAAGACAAAGAGAGGAGGTTTCTTTGGAATTCTTTCAGTCTTCTTTGAGGAGTCTCTAGTGCAACAACCTTTATGGGGTAAATGTAAACTCCAGTTGCAATTATCTTTATTCCTTGTCAACCCAATAACCACTCTGAACCTAAAATCTGAAATGGGAATCAAAGATAACTCTGAAGGATGAACATGTGCCAAAAAAATTTTACTAGACACTATATACTTAATATTATTTAATTCACCCAATTGGACTCTGAGTGAGGAGGTTTTGTTCTATCTTACAGAAGAAAAAAAAAACAGAAAAGTGGGTCTCAGAAAAGTTAAGTGCTTATATGCTTATAACCATACTACCTGTGAGCAATAGGAAAAGTCAAACCCAGTTTTGCGTGATTCTGAATCCTACACTCACAACCACTCCTTCCTTGCATCATTAATTAATATCAGGACTCGCCTGGACAAGGATGATGTAAAGAACTGGAGAACAAACCTTGGACATAGCTAGTAGGAAGGAAGCATTCATGCTTTGAAAGTGCTGCCAGGTAGGTTTGACTGATGCCAAGATCCAGATCCCCTCCCCTGTAATGGTAACTCCAGGCCACCAGGGAACACCTGCAGGTTACTACAGGGCTCCACAATCTCCTGTCCAACCCTAAAAAAAAATAATAAAAAATGCAGGAAGCCTCAAGGGCTTCTTGATAATGCCCAGTTACCCTACGGGGTGATTTGAATCCACTGGTTTTCTTCAAAATGAAAACTGAAGAAGCCAGACTCAAAAAGCTACACACTGTTATTCCATGTATGTGGCTGTCTGGAAAAAGCAAAACCACATCAGTGGTTACCAGATGCTGGAGGGCAGGCATTAGGAATTAACTGTGAAAGGGCATGAGAAGACTTTTTTTTTTTTTAGGTATGATGAAAATGTCTTTTTTCTCTTATTGTGGTAGACTTTACATAACCATACATTTGTCAAAACTCATTGACTTATACACTTAAAATTGGCAAATTTTACCATGTGTAAATTACACCTCAAAAAAGATTATATAAATATATGTGCATATATTTATTTATATCTACCCACACATACATATATACATATTTCAAATAGGCACTAGCTGATAAATCTGGAACTAAAATTTCCATTGTGTAACTGTATTGCAGTCAACCTGTGTCTGAATCCCTGAGTGGGTCCACCTTCTCAGCAGGGAAATTTCCTGCAGGCAGCCACTGCCAGCTGATTCACCAGGTCCAGGGGGAAGGAGGATCCGAAGTGAATTTTCAGGCAAATGCCTCTGTAGCGGTTCGAATAAGAAGCTGATTGCTAGGGTTACCTCAGCTTCCTGCCTTCTCTCCCGAATCTTCAGAGGTCATACTGTGTACTTGCCAAGAAGCACTCATCTGGAAAATTGCCTTAAGCCAGATTAAATATAACATCACTGTTTTTAACCTATATCTCACATGGCATACATGTCTTTATCTTCATATCTTGCTGCATTTTGAAGGCCATACCTGTCTCTACGCTCAGCCCTGAAAAGATAGGAGAAAAATCTTGCTAAAAATACTAAGCATTGTAGCTTCCAGCTGCCTCAGAAAGCTTGGTATGGATGTAAAATGAGCATTTCAGCAAGAAGAACCACATGAGCCTAGTCTATCTGTCCTTCCAGTTCTAGGTCACTTGTCCCCCCCCCCCCCACTCAATGTTCTCTTTGGTAAAGGTACTTCTCAATTTTATACAGCCAGTCAGAGCCTTTGCTTTCTGTCCAAGACCTTCTGTTTAGGGAATATCCAGAGGCTTCTGACCCATGTTAATAGCTCAATTGGAAAGGAACATAAGCCACACAAATATAGTCTAGCATTGGTAATAATCAGATAAGTCATGCAAAAATTAATAAGTACATAAGGTCATCTCCCAAAAGATAATAGGGGGCAGTCTTCCACAATAAAAGCTGCCAGAATGAATGGATTTTAAAGGGAAATGAAAACTAAAGAGCCAGAACAACTTTGGACTCTTAAAAATTATTGATATTTTCTGCTGCTAGGTAGATGACCTCCTGGTCACAGGTGTTGGGGAGGTAGCCATTCCCTGTACCCCATAGCAAGATGTGGACCACCTTGTTAAGAGTTTGATTTTTTTTAATTAAAAAAAGTAAGCAAACAAAAGATGAATTTTTCAAAGCACACTTTAATCACTTACTTAAAAAGGAGAAGTACAGTGTTTGATCCAATTCTATACACAAGAACTTGAACATAAATAGAAAATAGCCACAACCAGATGATAAAGCCATCCAAAAGCATGGAAGTACCCAGCCCACAAGGCTTTAAACCACTGCACAGATTTCTTAGATTTCCTACATCCCTTCCTGGAAAAAGAAAAAAAAAACTTTTAAATTTTGTTTTCTTACGAGTTCCCCACAAAGACAAAAGTCACGTGAAACAGTTGAAGTCAGTGAATGCCTCATGTATGCTCCTAGGTCTCTATTTTAGAACCAGAAATGCCATCATTTTTTCATAGTCATCTGATTTTCTTACAATTTTAGAGCCACGTAAATAAAAGTTCATAATAAGACAAAAGAAAATTATTTTTTTTACTTATATCTGTTCCATAGAAAACTGGTTAAATTTTTTAAATAATAAAAAGCAAGCAGTAGAGGGGGGTTGGGGGAATTGGTTGGTCAGACTGGTTCTAAATTTCTGAACTGCTTTGGAATTAAATTACAAGGTAGAGGATTCCACTGACTCTTCTGTAGGTGGACAATGAGAGAAAAGTAAAGTCCAGAACCTCATCCGAAGATCTTCCTGAGATTTATTTGGGGTGTACAACTTAGTGCATAAAAGGTCTTTTCTCCAGAAAACTCAGAGCACCTTGCATATATAATTTAGCAGGTAAAATTTACTTGACTGGTATGTACAAAGTGTCTTTCCAGGAGCTTAGGGGAAATTTGGTCCCTCAACCTCCTTCAGATGTTAATCTGCCTAATTAAGCCCCAGGTTGCTTTCAGGCATGCATCAGTGAGGCTACATGGATAAGGATGGTCATTCAGCAAATTTTCCTGTACAAAGAATCCCTAGAATCCATACTGAGTTCTCTGTAATTTCCAGATGTCACCTCACTACAGGTTTTATTAGACCCATGGTACCCCAGACCTCTGACAATCCCACCCTAGAAGAACTTTATTTTAGTTGGGAAGTGCATCCCAAAACACAGATGACTCTCAAGAGAAATCATCATCAAATGAGAGCAAATATCCTAAGTCCCTAGAGTGGTAGAACTATGCACCTAAATATCACTGCTAAAGAAACACACTTCTAGATTCCTCTACAGATATGTAAAAAGTGGAGATCATTTTCAACAAACATTTTATTTCTATTTCATCCTAATGCCTAGCAGTTTCCTGGGGTTGCTGTAGGAAGATAAGATTATAATTCAGAAGGTAGCCATCATTATAGACATAGAGTTTTTGGTCAAAGGGGTGATAATTGATGCTCTGCACTCTTTCCTTCACCTTATTCATTGTAATGCTCAGATGCCCTTCTTTCCCTGTGTTTGTGTCATAGTAGTAAAAAATCTCTTCTGTTCTGGTGTTCAACGTACGGGTGGCATAGAGAACCCCACAAACCATGAAGGCATTAGAAACAGACGGTTTGTACTGCTTCGTAAACCAAGTATTCAGCACCTCGAGGGTGGTGTCATTGAGTTTGCTTATCACTATGTTACCAGTGCTGGCTTCCGTGGCATAAATCACCCACAGTCCATGCTCATCCACAGCAAAGTCAATATCTTGCCAAGCAACATTAGCGTATGAAAAACGGTTATTATAGGCAGCATTAGGCAACGCTCGAGTCACAGCAACCCTGTTAGTGGTCAGGTTAATTCTGGCAATATTCCCAGTGTTGTACCAATTAACATACATGTTGTTGTTGTAAACTGCTGTACCACTGCCTTGGCCATAGCCAATCTGAGAGCTTCGAGCATTTGAGTACAATAGCAAATCATCCAGAGTGTCGTGGAGTCTGTAATATTGCAATGTCCTCCCATTCGTCTCCAAAGGCGCCACCCAATACTGCCCTGTCTTTGGATTCTGGGGAGAGTAATCCCGACCCCAGGCACCATAAAGAAAGGAAAACCCTCTCCAGTTGAGCTGAACCACAGACGGTTTGCTGATGTTCATCACACCACCGTGACTACAGCTTCCTATAGAACGAGAAAAGGAAAAAGGCTTTCTTAGAGACAATGAATGACAGCATACAAACCGTTTAATATTCTAAGAACCAAAGGCATCCATCAATATTTTCCCTGTCAAGGTTCAGTGACAACAGTGGCTCTGCTGTAGAAGAACCAAACTTCTCTTCAGTTTCAGTCTCAAAGTGAATCCACTGTCACATCTACAGAGAACGACTTTCTGTTTCTATGAATGGGCTTTTCCATCAGGGAAATGGAGATAATGAAACTGCCAAGAGCCATATCTAAAAGTTTGGAGGAGTCCAGAGAGAGAAAAAGGGAAACTTGACAAATTTAATATATTGTCTTCTACAAAAAAAAAAAAAGAAAATTGCAAATATTATCTTTTTTTTTTTCATTTTCTTATAGCAGAATCAAGAAGGTACAACCATCTCAAAAGCTTGCCCTGTTTTCATAAAACCAGAAGGTGCTACTTTTCCAGGGTCAACCCCAGGGAGAATTGTGATGAAGGAGAAGATGATCTTTGCCTAGTCTCCATGTCTGCCTTCCCTATGACCCCCAAGTGAATATCCACATCAATCCTGCTCCAAGCCAATCTCAGGAGAGGAAGTTTTAAATATAGTATTTTATAGATCCAAAAAGATGGTCTAGAATGGTGGGGTTTCAGCCTGGAGAAGCCATGAAGCTATTTTCAAGACAGCATTGCCTGCTTTGTGCCCACCATATAGCCCATCGCATAAATCGCTTGGTGACCATCTTGCTGCAGAGTTATGAGGCGAGTCCTGCTGTTCGTAACCCATATGCTGCTGTGCCCCAGCATGACAGGCAAGTATTTCATCCTTCCCATTCTGACATGGTCATTGTCATAATGTGTACAATCAAGTGGGACCAGATGCACTGGTCCATTGAATCTGCATTCCCTGAAACACTGTGTAAATGACTCAGCCTGGGCAACCGGCCCCTAACATTGAACTCCCTCTGAAATGCCTGCCAACCCAAAGTGCTTATAAATGAAGCATATAAATAAATGCAAAAAAAACATGAAATAAAATTCCTCCCAGGTTTTAATAATAACTATCCAAAGAGTTGAATGCATATTTTGGGGGGTCTTAACAAATACTCTTTAAAAAAAATGGTAAGGTTGTTTACAAGATAAAAAAAAAGAAAACTCAAATTCAACTTCAGGTATATTTAAGGTCATTTTCCTTCATTCTGCTGCTCAGAGCAGAGCAGGTGAGGAAGAAGGGAACAGAACCTGAATCACTGGATCTGGCTTTAAATGCTTGGAGGGAATTAGGGGAGCTATGGAGAACACATGAGTGAGCTGAAACCAAAGGCAGAGTTCCAAAGAATTGCCTGAGATGAGAGCACTGAGGGGTTTAGGGGAGCCAGGCACTGGTCTCTGAGCCTCTGCCTCTGCCCAATATGGAGAGACTCATTCCTTTCCTTGCTGAATGCTTCCCCCTCTACCTTCTTCACTCAAGGACTGACTGCTCAGAGGGGAAACCATTACTAGAAATCCTGCTTTTATTTTTCCAATCTGCTGGGACATTTTGGTCCCAGAATTAAATACGTGCTCTTTAAATGCTCTCATAAATACACAGTTGGTGAGAAAACCAGCCAACCATACAACAGGTAGAGAAATGAAACCACTCTGTACCCAACCTCAAATAATTTTGCATATCATTAAACAGAACACAGTCACAGGTTTGTTTTAATAATGCATGCACCATTTCATAAATAAAAAAGCAACATGTGTTCAACCAAGAGACTGTTCTCCACTAAAGAAATAATAAATAAAATTATAAATTATTATTTCTTCTCCTCAAAGTGATCTCTCAGATGAATGCTTGTTTGCTTTTGTTTATGAAACAATGCATGAATTATTAAAATAAAGTTAGTGGTGTGTTCAGTTTAATGATAACAAAAACTGTTCCAGTTTCCATATGCTACAAACTGGATTTTTTAGTTAAAATATCTTCCTAAAAACTTATTATTCAACTATATTTCACTGTGAGGCAATGAAAGAAAATCACTTTTTTTCTTTCAGGTTGGGAAACTTAAGAATGGTTTGCTTCATTGAATCTTACCTTTCTAGAACGAAAATACCCCACCAGCAGCAACAAAATATTTTAGAAAAATTTATGATGCATATAACTTACTCAAGCATTATCATGGGGTTAAAGATAAACCATCTGTCTCCAGATGTAGAAATCTTCAGATATAAAGGAACCAACATAGGCTGGGGGTGTAGCTCAGTGGTAAAGCACTTGCCTAGCATATGTGAGGCACTGGGTTCAATCCTCAGTACCACATAAAAATAAATAAATAAAATAAAGGTTTTGCGTCCATCTACAACTAAAAAAAGAAAAAAAACTTTTTTAAAAATAAAGGAACCAACATAAACCCGTCAAAAAATATCATTATTACTTGTACTATTATAGTGGTAGTCCTATTATTGGTAGTATAATAGTATTAAATACTGGCAATAGTATTAATACTATTACTGCTAATGGTAATAATAATGGTTCATAGTTTTATGAGAAAATTAAAATTGTATGAAGCTTTCTTCACCTTCCCAACCAATCCTAAACCCTCTCCTGTCCATTTTGTTATTCCCCCTTTATCCTCCAGCCCCTTTGGGCCATTTTTAGGGCTCTTGGCTATGGTCAAACAGAAGTAGCAATAGGGACAAGAACTAAGTTATATCGCTGTCAAAGCTGCACATGTGGTGACATTAGTGACAGACCAGTGAAAAGATTATGAGGGGGTTTTGCCAATTCCCAGCATCAAACCAACATGGAAACAACAATGAACCTGACAGCCATCATTGCACCTGCTGCTGATCCTCCTAAACCCATATACCCTGAGCTTCTCACCACCCTTCCTGGTCTCACACCCCTCCCAGCCCCTTCCTTTGGGTCAAAGTCTTAAATACACTTCATTCCCTTCTTACCCATCTTCCATCCCAGCCATGGTCCAAGAACTGTGAAGGATCAGTGGACCATTTGCACTTTCTTGTGGAAGAAAACATACCACAGAGCTTTCAGGAGCAAAAATACTCTTTTAACTACTCCAAAAGCACGGAAGCAAAGAACATGGGGTGTTCAATCAGGTAGGTGAGCTGTTGGAACTGTGTGTGATTCCATAAGTCCTGGGTATACTCCGCTATTGGAGCACCTTGGAAGGCAGCCTGTACAGTGACAATATTAACAGACAGCTTCCAATCCAAATCCCAACTGCCATACTCAGAGCTGTGCATCCCTAAGCAAGCTATTTAACCTTTTGAATTTCAATTTCCTTATGATAAAAGAAAAATAATAATATTCTGCAAGACCTTTGGACAGAATGAAGTCTTATAAATGTAAATAAATGATAACTATCATTATAATCATGTCATATTACAGGGAGAGTTCACATGACTGTCTCCCCTCTTGAGTAGTGAGTGGTTCTGGAGGTTGCTTTACCCATCCTGGTAACCCCAGGTCTCAGAACAGGATCAGCCACACAGAAGACCAAATTATGTTTGTGGAATAAAGGAAAAAAGATTGATCAAATCACTTAAACTCAACTTATCCTAAAGAACTTAACCTTCACCCTGCCACATATCTGACTTTTCAAAGAGCCTGACATTTATTCCATAGAACATGATACAAGATGCCCCTTGCACAAGTGAATCTTTGGTTGGCCTGTATATTCATCAGGCAATTTAGCAGAATTCTGGAAATACCCAGGAAAGTCACAGTCATGAGACTTTCAAATATTCTCATCTGGCTTTTTAAAATTATCATGGTTAGTAGTGTCAAACATTAAAATGTCAAATATTTTTGCCTGAAGAGAAACTTAATCTTGGATCTATCAATGCATTCTTGCAACTGGGAAACTAAATTTTATTTGAAACCCAAGGAGAAGAATGCCATTGACTTGTAAGAAATAGGCAATGAAAATGGTCATAACCCTAAAACAACTGAGACTAAGTTGATTCTGAATTATTAGATGTTGCTACTCAATATTGACCTTTCCTGAGCTTTGGATTTAAGCAAGTCACCCCATTTCTTTCATACCCTGTTCAATCACCAGCCATTTACTGAGCACCTACTATATACCAGCAAAGCCTGGCATCCCCCAGGCAAGATCCCTGCGCATTTCCATCACATTTTGCCAATGCAGAGTCATTTGAACTCGGACGAAAAACAGAGGGAGGGCGAAGTCAGTTGTTTTAAGGAAAAATGTTAATGAAGTGAAGGCCAATTACTTTAAATTAGAAAGATATATGAAATGAAGCAGAAAAGGATGTTATTTGTAGCAAAAGCAAATACAAAGTGCATTTTACTGAACCCAAAACATACGTAGCAGTTCTAAGTTCAAGTTGACCATAGGGTTAGCAAACTGCAGCCGCAAGGGAGGAGCCCTGAGAGCACAGAACTACTTTACAGCTGAGACTTGCATACAGTCTTTTTTGTTCTGTGCAACTCTGCAGTGAAAAAAAGCAGACAGGCCAGATTTTAAAGTCCCATAATAGTGAGTAACTTTAATTAAAGTCTCCACAGGCTCACAACTTTGTGGTGCCTGGGGATTTTTCAATTCTGCATTATCAACCAATCCGAACAGAAAGAGAGAGCAAGTGAAAGAAATTGATTTAAAAACATGACAAAAAGTCAGTTTAATATAAACATCATAAATATAATATGAACAAAGCTGGAGGAGGGCCAAGTAGCTTGGCAGGGATCCAGGTACAGACAAGGTTGTGGGAAAGTGAGTGGAAATCTGGGTTCAATTTGCTTAAACAACACAGCTGGGCTGAGATGGTTCTCAAAAGTCTAAGTGTGAGGGCCTGAGGGAAAGTTCTGGAAAAAAATCCAACAAAAATAGTCCAATGGACTTACTGGTTTTCCTCCCCACCCCCAATACTGAGCCATGTATTTTCTCCTCCACCAACCATCTTTGAGTTTCTGACACCTGACACTCTGAGATGACCAGAGAGGGAAGTTTGCATTTTACCTTCAGCTCTGTCACTACCTGCTGTGTGACCTCAGGGAAATCAGCATCCTTGCTACTCAAGTCCCCTCCTCTGAGACATGAAGGGGCTGAGATAGGTGTTCCTGAATGTCCCTCCTTACTCTAAAATGTCCTCATTCTGAAATCTGCATAGAAAACTATGCCAGAAAAGAAGGATTGTTTGCTGGGGAAACGGGGCACTCGTTCCGTTATCAACAGAGGTTGTCACATTGCTTCCACTTTGGCCTCAGTGGAGCACTGGAGCCTGGACCACTGGACCTGTTCTCATTTCTAAAACATGTTTACATGTTGGTCCCAGGCCAAACTTAGCCTTAGTTTGTTACAGAAGACAGACCGCTGTCTTTGCCTTAAACATCCTCTGTATGTCAGACTAGGACAGAGTCCCTACTACAGAAGGAGAGAAAAGTGTCCCCTGAATAAGACCAAGAGGCTTGTCACCATGGTCATATCTAATTGAGGCCTTAAAGAAATCAGTTACATTAACAAAGATCCAGAAACTCACAGTCCAAAAGGAAACAGGTTGTGAGGGTTGGAATTAATACAGATAACAAAGCCTGTCTGATCTGATGAAAAGAGACAGTACCCATTTGGGCTAAGAATCTTACAGCTCGCTGAGAGAAGCTCCCTGTGACATAGTGTCCCTAAAGGACAGGGATGAACACTGCAGCTGAGTTCACCTGGCAGGGGGCACTGCAGTGCACAAGGATCTGGCCCTGCTGCTGTTCGCAGCAAGGTTTTCATTCCAATTATCATTATTACTAATAATATCCATTGCCAGTGTGTGAGTGCTGATTACAGAGCCCTGAGCTTCCCAGGTGTTGGCTCATTAATCCCCATGGCAACCTTACAAGGTATGTATTATTATTCTCCCATTTTACAAATGAAGAGATTAAGGATCTTTTGCCCCCAGCCACATAGCTGGAAAGCTCTGGTCTTTGGGATACCAAAGCTATGCCCTTGAGCTTCCTCTCCACTACCTCCATTCACAGAGGCATTTATAGAGCTTCCCACTGGGTGCTGTACTTAACCCCAAAGAGGATGGTGAGAGAATGAGATGCCACATGACCCTCCAGAGCTCACAGTCCTGGAGGGACGGCATGGGATCCCCCCAAGTACCACAACCTGTGGGCCCAACCGCTCAATTCTCACTAAATCTCAGGACATAGATTATAGTAAGTGCTCAACAGGGAAGAATAAAGGGAAATGTGAAGAGGAGGGGGGAAGAGAGGGAAGGAGAATGGGAAAGCAGTCAAATCCAAGGCATATACTAGTTCACCAGATAAATAAGCCAATCAGCACTCATAATCCACAGGAAAGCAGATGTCACACATAGATTCCAGAAGCTCTCCCCTGGGCCCCTGATAGCTCCTCTATCACCATAGAGATGGTTTTCCTATCAGTAAATACAGAGGGAACACATGTAACTCGTGGGATTTTGTTTTAAATCAACTCATTGTGCTTTTTCTCTGTGAACCCCAGAATATGACAGTAGAACTACTTGGGGTAAGGGGATTTAAAACATGGAAGAATAAGCTTAGAACTGCAAAAATAGGATCCTTCCATTATTACAACCCCCCCCCCACACACACACACACACACATGATAGGACCTGGCTTTTGTAGCAAAAATATGGCCTGCTTACCTGGAGCAGGAGGCAGGATGACTGGATAGTTTTCCTCTTTAGAGGTCTCACATTCCTTCAGCTTGTTCTTTAGGGCCGCGATTTCTCGGCGAATGGCAAGGACATTGTTTTTGTCTAGTGTCTCCAGATCCTCTACCAGGAGAGACATATTCCTTATCTAAGGAAATAAAAATTCAGAGTGACTTTATGTTATTGTGCAATTTCTTTCATAAACATTCCAGGGCTGAATTTGTCATTTAGTGAGACATCGCTACAGAATACACCAGAGATTCTTCTGAATGGTTTCATTTGGAAGAATACATTTTATGGTTTAGTGTGAATGCCTGTCAGATCTCAGGCAGATGTGTGTGACAAGAAGAAAATGGCAAAGATTTTTAACAGCTTTAATAATAGAGCACGGACTCATTCTAGGCATCTACAAATGTCCATTAAAGTTCATTTCTAATAACCTTCCCCTATAAACTTGTGTTTACTCATGTTGTCTTATAATTAAGTTTCTAATGAATGATGGGGGCCAGAGAAAACTTAAATTCAAAATACGTAACTAGAATTGTCAATTATAGCCCATGTCATGACTGTGCTAGTAAATTCTCGTTGATATAAATTACCCAACCGTAACATTAATGTGATGGTCTTTATCCACATATCTTAAAAGCCTTCACTAAAGCATACTCACACACACACACACACACACACACACACACAAAATATTCTTAAAGGAGGTTGCCAGTATGTGAGAAGAATTCCAAGAAGGACCAAGGATTAGAAGGCTGTACAAAAGGAAGAACAGACCTAATGTGTCCACAGTCAAGTAGACTGTGGATTTCTACTACCATGAAGATAAATCCAGAGCAGAAAACACACCCGCTCTAGCCATGGTATGGACAGTTGCTCAGATTTATGTCACCTCCTTTCTAAAGAACTCAAAGGCCCTGGAGCAGGGTTCTAATCATTAAATGACCTATCTCTCAGTCAATGTGTTCCCAGTGTGCTTAACTAACTGTACAAAAAAAAATAGGCCCAAACATAGAATGTGTGACATGATTGTGAGAAAGGAGCAGACTTAGAACTGGGGAGACATTGGTATCCAAGTCCTCACATTTGTTCATAGTCACTGAAGATAATTTAGTATTGACCCACTGAAAAGGGAAATCCTTCCTTACCTCCTCTTCCAGCTGGTCAACAATTTCTGTGCTTCCAACAAAATTCTCCTTCAGCCGTATGATCAGTTTCTTCATCTCGCTCACTTCTATCTTGATCAGCTCAAAGTCCAGTTCTGTGTAAGAAATGCTATCCTTCTCCATGATCTCTACTCGGACAGTTAGGTTTAAGAGTTTCTTTTCATACACACTGATTAATTGAACATATTTCTTCACCTGAAGAGGAATCAAAAGTCAGTTCCCAAAGTAATATAAAACATTATTCCTCCACTTCCAAACCCTGGAAGGCTATTTGCAACTATTTGATTCCTGTCAATCACTATAGGTTTTTCCTTGTGTTTTGTTGTTGTTGTTGTTTGTTTGTTTTTGTTTCTTGGTAAGGAAATGAATCAAAAATGTATTTAACTAGATTCTTTTTTGTTAACCCAAATGCAAACTAAAAAATTTAATTGCAAGCGATTTTGCACTTATACTAAAAATAATTTGCCTCAAAGTCATTATTCACGTATATATTTTTTAATCTCCATTTCAATGCTTGAAGATATTAACTCCTCAAACTGGATCAGAGTCTCTTGCCATCCCTCCTCCTCTCAATTCATTTGCTCTAATCAGGGTTTCTGAACCTGAGCTATTGACATTTTAGTAGATTTATTTCTGGGGGGTTGCTGTGCTGATAACTACACATGCTAGTAGTGCCTCCTGACTCTCCATTGTGATATCCAGAAATATCTCTGGACATTGCTAAATGTTCTCTGGAGAGAAATTACCACCACCACCACCCTCCCTTTGTTTAGAACCATTGCTCTAAATGTAGGTATTTTCTTGAAGAGGGAGAAATATACTAAGTAGCATTCCTTCTTTGGTACCGTTTTAGCAATGAGTCCCTCTGCCCTTTACAAAGTCCCATGAAGGCCCAGCTTACCACACAATATCTGAGTGTATATGCAACAGGAAAGTGCACATTTCATTAAGTGTGCTCACATTTATTCCAAGAACTGATTATTGCAATCAGACCTTTAAATTACACATTTGTTGCATATATTTGAATGTCTGATCATTAAGTTAAAATACTTCCAAAAATTCCCTTGGTGGTTTAGTATATAATTGGAATCTCCAAATGGATATTTCAATAAACTGTTGGTGGCACTTTCCATATCTGATCTCTAAATGAAATGTCATGGCTTTTTAAAGGACCTGCTCATTAAAAGTTGCTGGATTTACTTTCTTTTAAAAAATATGAACATAAGTGATACTTCTGCCCAAACTGTGCTAATGTCAAATGGCTGGTCCACAGTGCCTGGATGAATTCGGAGCCAGATGTTGACCTCTAATCCTTCTAATACCAAAAGCAGTCCTAACTTCTGTCATTTTAGCCTTTCCACTTAACCCCACTGTGCAAATTAGAGTAGACTCAGAGGCCACAGACCTAAAGGGCCAGGGTTTCAGGCAAAGAGGATTTTAATGAAAAGTTAAAGATGCAGCCCTTGGCACTGCTAGTGTATCTCCTCAGGCAACTGATGTTCACTGCCATCAGGTGTGCCATCCCTAAGAGGCTGAAAGGCTGGTGACATTTTGGTTGATAAGAAGGTTTTCAAAAAAAATTATGTGTGTGTGTGTGCATATATATGGGTAAGACTAAACGAGTCCCCCTCAAAAATACACCCAGAGATATAGAGTGGCCAGGTTTCAGTTTCCACCAAATTGGGCATAAAACCTTGTCTGTGATACAAAAATAATAATAAAGCACCAAGCCATTGCAGAAATGGAAGTTTGAGAAATGAATATGCTTGTTGGCATTTGGTCTTGCCAGCTCTTGGAACAAATGAAACACCCCTAGCTTTCCTGGAACATTTTGGTGGCATGTCGCAGCTGTTGTTCTGCAAAAAATGAGTGATTCAACTGTCATCTCTGCTAAATAAAATGTGGCTCTCCCTGATTCTCACAGAAAACCAAGGCATCGCTTAGAGTTTGTAACCTGTGAGAATGTAGGTTGTGCCTGCCTTACCTCTGCTACAAAAGATAGTCTCTAAAAATCTGTTTGGAGGAAAATTTTATTTTTGAGGTTCTGTAAGCTGATGAAGAAAGCTCAGTGGTGCTCAGGAAAATTGGAATGATCCTCAGAGTTACAGAAAGCAGGAGAAAATTTGAAAAACCTAGAGTATGAACTTTACTGATTTAAATAGATTATTAGTATAGACCTTTCACATATATGGATTTGTAGTTTGAGAGAGCCTGGACAATTCTGAGAACATCCAAGCTCTACTTGGGAGATGCAGGCTCAGTAGAAGCAGTCCAGCTGTGTCTAACCTACATTCCTGGCACTTAATACATTTAGTGGATTTATTCCTCTTCTAGAAAATAGTTATATTAAAAGCAGTGTTCCTAAACAAAGAGAAGGTGGTGGTAGTGGTGGTGGTGAAGCTGGTGGTACTTTGTGTCCAAGGAACATTTATCAGTGTCTGGAGACAAAACTGGGGGTAGATGGAAGTTACTGGCATTTAGAGGTCAGGGGTGTTGTAAAACAATCCTATCAAGAATATGAATCTAAGCCCAAGAGGACACATACCTGTGTCAAAATCTTTACCTTGAAATTTATAATTACTACAAATTTGAATATGGAAGACTCGTGTGTGCTAGCCTTCAAACCACTAGCCTAACATTCAGAGCTTCTGCTTCATTTTGTTTGTTATGCACTTACTATGTCATCAATGAAGAATCAAAGTCTGGAAGTTGTTTTGTCGTGGTTGCTATTGTATCTTAAAATCTTATAATTAAAAATGTAGTGTGGCTAGCTATTAAGTAGTTTGTCTGGTTCATATTTGTAACAATTTCACAATTCCTTAAAATCTGTGATCATAACTATGGCCAGATTATTTGAAATAAGTAAATGTTCTTTGCAACATACTGTTATTTCCAATAAGTCCTTAAAAATGAATACAACTAGGTTAATTGAAGCTGATGTGACCATCAGACATGGAGCACTTGGATGCTACACCCACCTGAGCTCAAATCTGACTTCAGTATTTAGTGGGCAAATCACTTAATTTCTCTAAGCTTTAGCTTCCTCCTAAAACTGAAGGTAATATTATCAAGCTTACAAGATTATTGTGAAGACTAGAGATGATGTGCATTAAGTGCCTAGCTAATGGATGCCCCCATACATTATAGAAATTAATAGAGAAACAGTGATCTCAGTGTTTTTCAATCTGACCTTTTAATTTATTATATTTCACTGCACAAAGCATTGCTCAATCAATGTTGTTTGTTTATGGGTTGCCTAAATGTCTCCCAGGCTGCCTCAACCTTCTCATGCATGAGGATCTATTAGCAAATGTGTCATATTAAATAACTTGCCCCAAAGACCATAAGCCTCCAGAGAAAGAAAAAAATCCTGAGCTGCCTTTTATGCTGTCTCTTTCCTAAGTACAGTCACAAAAGGACATGTCCATAAACAACAGAAAAGTATAAAATGCTTTCAGCATCGTATGCAGAGGCAGCTCCCTGTCTTCTCTGTGTACTGGCACATAATGAATCAATGTAAGGCCGTCAAAACCCTTTTTGGCTGGCCTGCCCCAAACGGGCATTCCCCCAGGCTCCTAGATAAATGGTGATTTCCAAGGCAACCTAGGGACAGCTATAATAATTCACCTGGAAATTCAAAAGCCCTCAGCTGAAGAGATAACTTTGAATTCAAAGGCGTTACTGACCTACTGCATCTCATCTTGAGTCTGCACTGAAGGGTAACAGCCTGGCCAGGAGGAAGGAGAACTTTGATGACGGTAAACGCTCAAATTCCTGATCAGGCTTCACCAGCCAAGAGAGATGACCTTGGGCAAGTTCCTTTACCTCTATAAACCTCAGTGTTTCTATCCCTAAAATGGGAGGAAGGACCCCTGGCCTCTCTCCTTAAAGGACTTGCTAGAGAGGAATATAGAATTGGAAGCATATGGAAAAACACAAATGAAAGCTGCTACTGTTATCATCTGTCACATCAAATCAATTATGTAAATCCCAACTGTCAGGTAAGTTTCTTCCTTGGGTCTCAATCACAATCTTTTTTTTTTTTTTGTGGGGGGGGGACCAGTTACTAATACTTATGGGACTAAAAGTTTTCCTATCTACTCTGCCTTTCTTCCCTGTCAATTATTAGCAAAGCAGATGCCACCTGCACCACCCGCCCCATACCTACCTTTCAGGATTGAAATTAAATGTCCCATATTCATAAACCTGGCAATCCACCTACTCTCCCTGGAGCAGCAAGAGGTTTCAAACTGCCCTTCACACTCCTGGCAGCAATGACGACATGCAAATCAGTGGCTTCCACTATTTCAAAGCAAATGACTCTAACTGAAAAGATCTTTACCTAGGATTTTCCTCTACTTGTTATGTTTTTATGCATAACTTCTTATCTGTACTTGATTATGCTGGAATAAGGCTATGAATATTAATGGTTGGAATTTATAATTTAGTGCTGTGCCTTTTCTACTGATTAATTCAAGGACGTTTTATTTCTTAAGAAGCTAGGTTCCTGGAGTAGTCAAACACATTTTCTTGGTCACTTATTTAAACTTAGAATATTTATCTACCAATTCAGGTTGAAAGCAGGGTCTCAGCCTCACATAATTTTTGTCTTAAAGGATAACTATGCTGGATGTTAAGGTGGTGAAGCTTAAATTTCTGAAGAAAACTTATTTTGAGTCTTGCAGTAAACCCAGAGCTCCTTGTAAATTAATGGAGTTGTATTAAATAATGCATAATATGATTATACTCTAGCTTGGACTTCACCTGTGCAGAAAATAGGAGGCTTTCTAATTGATTTGTAACTTGAATGAAAATCCGGAAGGGGTCAAAAGTGGAAGGCTAAGTCACATTGCTCCAGCCAGCTGGGAGAAATGCAAAGTGTTGAGGATAGCTTCCTCTGGCCAGAGAAAAGCAGGAATCAGAGGCTTCCAGTTAAGTTTTTAAGAGACCTGTGAGTGTAGATTCAAATTCCCAAGGAAGCCTCCAATTCTGATCTAATGCTGGACCAGAATGAAATGCTCTTGTGGAAACAACAGAAGACAAGTACCAAAAAACAAAGGAAGGAAGAGAGCAAACTGTAAAGATTTAAATGTGTATGTGTGTGTGCACGTGTATGCGTGTGTGTATGTGTGTACACATGCATGAGTGCAAGCACAAGAGAAGGGAAAAGAGGGAAGGAAGGGGAATGAGAGGGAGAAGATTTGGGGGAGGGAGAGGGGAGGAAAAAGGAAAAGAATAAAAAATCATCCAAAAGGAAGAGAAGACCAAAAAGAGTCAAAGAAAAGAGGAGGAAGAGAGGAGGAGGAGGAGGAAGAGGAGGAGGAGGGGGAGGAGGAGGAGGAGGAAGAGGAGGAGAAGGAGGAGGAGGAGGAGGAATCAAGAAGAAAACAGAAAGAAAGATTAGAAGGAATAGACAAGAGACAGGATTGAGGCAAAGGGAACAAGAAAGAAAAGCAGGAAGGAAATAGAAGGAAAGGTGAAGGAAAGAGAAAATAGACTAAAGAGGATAGAGGAGAGCAAAGAAAAGAAGGCAAAGCTGGATGAAAGATCTAGAAGAACAACAAAGGAAAGAAGAAACAGACAAACGAAAACTGCAGAGCTGGCATTTGCAGGGAGAACTTGCAGCCTCTTAATGACTCATGAGGACCACAGCCCTGGAGCGAGCCTGCTGTGGACACCCTCCATCCTGCCTTCTCACCCTGCCATGAGGAACTACAGAGATGGACTGTGAACGAATGCTAGGATGCCATAAGATATAAAAGTGCTATCTTTGGTACAGTGAAGAATGATTGCTTCTAATATACCAAACAACCAAGTGCTTTGTTTTGCTTCTTTGCTATTTGTTCTTAACAGATATTGTCTTAAAAGAAAATGCTTACTTTAGAAAGCTCCTTCTCAAACTTCACAGACAGGGTGTGAGCTATGTACTCCAAGCGTTCCACTCGGTTCGCAGGAAAGGTGGTGTCTGGCAGAGAAACAGAGCACTGGCAGGTTCCACGTTCATCCACAGAGCCGGTGAAATTGGAAAATGACTGTAGATAATAATAAGGTAGACATCAATAATAAGCTGGAAAATGAGGGGTTTTGGGCAACAGGAGTGACAGAAATTGGCTTATCAAATGAGGGCTTGGAGGCAAGCAAGTGGAGTCCAACATATAAACAAATAGGATCACAGAAGCAAGCTGAAACTGGGATGTTGTCATGAGATGGGGACCTCACAGAGCATTTAACCACATCTCTAGCTGTTGGACTACGCCACTGTGTCCCCAGCCTTTACCCAAAGAAGATTCTTCATTCTTGAGGAGTCTTAAAGGAAATCATTACCATCTATACACAACTTACACAAAGAAAGGGAAAGAAAGAAGTGATGAGAATTCTTAAATTTAAATATCAATTCTACCACTTCCTGATGTGACTTCTTAAGTCTCAGTTTCCTCATCTGTAAAACAGAGAGGAGATTGTCACAGGATTTGTCCTCAGGATTAACCAAGTAATGTGAGCCAAGTTCCTGGCACCTAGTAGGTGATCTATTTGTTGTCAATTTTCTCTTCTGTTAAACATCACCCTTCCCTCACCTTTTATCCCAATCCCAATCTAATTCATCCCAAGTGGGATGAGGAAGCCGCCAAGGGTGTGGGCTGGGGAAAATATACAATGCAAATTCATCTTCTCTCTTCAGCTGCGAAATTGTATAATTAACATTCTTCAAAATGGAAATAAATACACCATTGGTTAAAAAACTGAGCAGTGTATGAGTTTTGGAGATTTTGTGCAAATGTTTTAAATAAAAGTTCTCCAGCTTACCACTTGCAGGAAAGTCATTTTAAAATATTTGATGTTTCTTTAAGATATTCAGGCTCACACTTTGGTGCCGCTGCATATTTTAAAATGACAGGTTTGAAAGATCCTGTTTTTCTTTTGTCCCCTTTGAACTACCCCAAGGGGATGCTGGCACAATTAACATTTTTTTATTACTACCATTGCCTTACAGAGTGGGACTCTCAGCAGCCGACTGTCTGTGCCTTTTAATGATCTCATCTGAAGGCCAGCCCAAAGCTCACCTGTGGAGCATCAGCCTGAAGGGACTTTTCATAGAACTATGAAGGAGAGAGCAGTGGTTTTCAGAGTCTGAAGACTCAGGCCATGACTCTCAACGTTCAAGTCAGCCAGCTGCAGCTGAGGTTGTGTTCTTTCTGCATTCTCTGTGTGTTCTCTACCCACCTCCAAGACTCCTGAGCAAGCCTGGCCTAGATGCATATGCCATCAGCCTAACCCAGCTGTGACCTCTGGGCTAATTAAGACTTTTGCAACCAAGGGATTTTTTTGTTGTTGATATTGTGTTTTTACTATTTTTTTAAAATTTAGCCTAAGTTTCTTTAAGATAATCAGAAAGGGAGGAAAAAAAATAAAAAACAAAAAGTGTGTGTCTCAAACTCTCCTTGCCAGGTAATTTCTTGATATTGGCCTCAATTTTCTTTTCTAATCACATCCCCACACCTGTAGAAATCAGAGAGTAAGGAAGAGGAACAAGCAGTATGCTAAAGATGGGAAAGGGGATGGGGTGGGGAGGGGAGGAGTCTTTGCCAGGGATGAATCAGGACAGGAGGAGATACACCAGCCTGTCAGAGAGGCCAGCCTCTCTCAAACTCAGCTCTATCACTGTCTAAAATTAGAAAGACTCCAATTCGAGCATGCCAGGTCTTTTATAGGAAGGACCAACAAATCACAGGCTTTTGAAGAAATAGCTTATTATAATAACTGTCTAGCAATAAAAAAAAAAGAAAAGAAAAGAAAGAAAAAAAATCTTGCATTGCAATTGACAAGAGGAGGTTAATTAGCTGCCCAAGACAGGGTTGGACCATCTTAGATTTCTCTGAAAAGCTCTGTCAACTCAGGAGACAGCAGATATCATCAAGTAGTCTCCAGACATTCAACTAGGAACCACTAGCTAACAACTTTTAGTCTTGAAGATCACCTGAAAGACAGACAAATAATTACGAGTCTTGCTGACAGCCATTCCACTGGTTTCTATTGAACATCTCTGTCCCAACATTGCGGGCTTCTCTCCCGCTTATCATCAGCCCAGCATGCTCAGCTGACATCAAAATGGTCCATAAGTTTGATCGGTGTCTCCCATTAGAGATTTTTCTGCTCCTTGAATTCAAAGACAATGAAGCTAATGGTGATGAGTCTCTCTCTGTGGTGAATGCTTAAACTCTACTTGAGTGTAACATGAGGACTGAGAGACAAAGACAGATACTTGTCCCTTTGGCCTTTGGAAAGATATGTGATCCCCCTGGCGGAGGGCAAATAGGGTCCTGTGTGACCCACAAAACACCCAGCTCTGCTTGGTTCCCACTCAGGACGTGTTCAATTAACATTTACTGATGTATACGATTTGTAAGACTCTGGCATAAGATGATTAAGACCAATTTCAGCCAGGAATCAGGACCACCATCTTTATAAAATTCTTAAGGTTTGTTTGTTTTCCAACCATCCCAGTAGCCTGACTCATTGTGGTTCTGATTCTGCTAGTTACTGCACAGAGCAAAGCATCAAGCCCTTTCCTTGTCTATAAAATGAGGCTGTGAAGCAGCCCCTTCTTTGGAGGCATGCAGAGTGCTCTGAGCCCTAGGGCAGAAGGTGCAACTCACATTTGTGATTTAAGGTTGCAAATGGCTCTAATTAGTAGCCAAGTCTAAGTGCCCACAAAGATTCAAGGCATAAAATAATGGTACTCAACATTTTCAGCGTACAGAAAATGATACGTTTGGAACTTGCTCAATGACAGTTATAAAAGGGTTTTCCACCACTTTCCAAAGAGCTCATCAAGCTGACAGCCAGCCCCAGAAAATTAGGTTGATAGTGGAATTGACACCCAGTCCACTATAAAAAAAAAAAAAAAAAGAGATTGGAGTTGTAACCCTGAATCACCAGAGGGAGATAAGTAAACTAAGAAGGTAATTAGAACCTCAAGATACAATTTAACCACCATTTCTTATCTCCTTTTAAATATTTGTCTTCTTACCAGATAATAGGCATTTTTAATTTCTCTTTTTTCTTGACCTATATTTTATTTTATATTATTTTAGCTGATCTTCCCCAAATGCTGGTTTTTGATTCATGATAAAGCTTCATAACAAATTATTGTTTGTTAACCTCACTTTGAAAAATATGCTAACCAATTCTAATTGTCCCCAGAAATTGTTCAGTATCATGGGATAAAATTATGCATCTGATTTCTGGCTACAAAGAATGCTTGTGCATATTCATGATTCTGAAAACTTTCTCCTCTTTAAAATAAGGAATTTTCATCTATTCTCCCTAGAGATAGAGAAAGTTGTGTACAGAGAGATGGTATTCATTATAAACACCCTGGAAATGAGTTAAAAGCAGGGAGAAATAACTGATTTTGAGTTATATAACTTGCCAGCTTAGTGACTTTAAGCCAAAGATTTTACCTTACTAAGCCTCCGCTTTAACATCTCTAAAACGAGATCACTTATTTTACCTGCCTCTTAGGGTTAAATAATATATATTATATACTTAACCTGGTCCTGGTCTTTTAGGTACACAGTGACAATTATTGCTATTGTCTTCCTCTAGGATCTCTCCAAACCATTTGCTAGTCATCACATTTTCATTGTCTACATATTCGGATGGTGCCAAAGAAAGCAAGCAAACAGTATCCCCTTCACCCCTTCTCCCATTCACCCCTTCATTCAGAAGTGCTTATATAAGTAGCAACCTAATTTGTGAATGAAGATCCTAGAAGTGCAGAAGGAGGAGGTTTGATGGCATCTGGACCTCCAACCCCAAATTTTAATGAAGCAAGGTTAGCCTAGGAAGTTTTATAGAGTAGGCCTCTTGCAGAAAGGCTCAAAGAAGACACAGATAGGGCTGGGGATGTGGCTCAAGCGGTAGCGTGCTTGCCTGGCGTGCTTGCAGCGCTGGGTTCGATCCTCAGCACCACATACAAATAAAGATGTTGTATCTGCCAAAAACTAAAACAATAAATATTTAAGAAAATTCTCCCTCTCTCTCTCTTTAAAAAAATTTATTTTTAAAAAAAAGAAGGCACAGATAACTGTTTTGTTTTGTTTTGTTGCTCCCAATCTCTCACCCCTCCTTACCTGTTCTCGTTTCTTTAAAGGAGATCTAAAGAAGACTCATCCTCCAAGGGGCTGGGCTAACTATGTGTCCTACAAGGTAGCCTAGCTGGACCAATCCCTTTTTAGTACATGGGGGTTTTGTTGGTTTATTTTTTTACTGTAGTTGTTTGGCACTGGAAATGGACTTAAGGATTCCCTATAAAGAAGATCCAAAAGAGTTAAAATTCCTCAGGAAATGTCCACATGTAGAGGCACTTGCTAAAAAACAAAAATTCCTCCCCTTACTTCTCTCTTCTTTACAAACTAAGGACAGAGAAACTGCCTGGACTCCTCCTGGAGCATCAAGGTAACTCCCTTGAGGGTTACTTTTTACTATGCTAGGGGTCCCTTCTTGCCAGCAAATCAATTTAACAAACTTTCCTGGAGCTGCTACTTACAGGGCCCCTTCCATAAGGATTCCTACCCCAGACTGCATGTGAGAATCACCTGGGGATTTTTTTTAAATATCTGATATTTAAACATCTAAGTAGGATAGAACCCACACATTTGGGCCTTGGGAGTCTCATGGCCACTGGTCCTAATGTGCAGACTGGTTTAAGAACCTCTTTAAAGCATAGATTCTTTCCCCAAAGCCTCCAGCTGGAGAACTAGGATGTTCTCTCTTGCTAACAATTTAATTATTTCACCCAGGTTTTAATTCATTTCCAGGGCACCTATAGTGAACAGCAAGAGCCATAAATCTTTTAGAGTGCCCAGGTCTATCCATCCATGAAATTGTATTTAGGTCCCCAAAAAGCTAAAGGAAGGGAATGAACACAACTCACTCAGACTCTGGGGCCCCCTTACCTGGGGTGCAGCATGGCCTTTTGGCCAAGCTGTGGCTGCAGCATGGCCTTTTGGCCAAGTTAAAACTGAAGTTGGAGCTACAGTCAAAGCCTCCGGAAAGTCAGAGGTCCAGAGGCTCCGATTCTCCAATCCTCCAACAGCAGAGCTGAGAACGAACAGATGGGGTAGGAGGAAAGCAAGGCCCCACCTCATCTTGTCCTCTTGACAGGATCCACTGGCTTCTGCCCAGAGCTCAGGGATCTCTTATAGTGCCCAGTGGGGATTTCCCCATGGCAAGTGTGTGGGGAAAGAGGAAGCAACCAGGGAACACATGACCCAGGAGGGTCAGGATGCCCAGTAACTTGAGTCATATCCACATCTCACCGAGCCCTACTCTATAACCTGCCCTTAGATCCAGATTATCCCTTGACAAATATTAACTCAATTGTGCTTTTTCAAGCCCAATATCTGCTTACCAACTCGGTATGCCCTTTAAAGAGATGGGGTCAAAGATAATCTCTGTGAATAAGACAGAGTATACAAGTTCCAGGAAGGAAAAGCAATTCTGGGTCCTTTGTCTGGAAGCCACTTCTAGGTGTGATCTCACACTTCACTGAATGCTGCTTTCCAGAGAAAGTGAGGGCGCTCACTTTAGAGACCCCGAGTCCCTCCCAGTATGCCTGAAGCTTCCCTCTTCAGTGTTCACTGTCCAGGTTGTCTCTGACCATTGCAGTGTCTGCTTCTAGACTAAGTTCTATAAGGCACACTTGTTGAGCCACCCAAGAGTGTCTTCTTATTTCATGTGGGTATGGGGATTAGAGGCAAGGATAGGAGCATTTTCTCCAAAGCTTCCTTGGAAACTGTAGGGTCTATCTATATTATCTGCCCCAAAAGCCATCTGTGGTGAAGATGAAGGTCAGCAACTGGTGACTATGGTCAGCTTTCAGTGGGAAAGACATGTATTTTTAAGCAAACACCTCTCATGTTCTGCCCTATGTAGGATTGTCAGATTTAGCAAATAAAAATAGAGATCCCCAGTTTCAATTTGAGTTCCCTATAAATTACAAATAAGTTTTAATATTAGTATGTCCCATGCAATATTTGGGTCATACTTATATTAAAATACATGTTGTCTATTTAACATTCAAATTAAACAAGATATCCTGTATTTTATCTGGGAACACGAATTTTGGAGCAGAATGTTGACTATGAAATTCATTGTTCTCTCTTGCAAGCAAATCAGTCTTGGCTTCTTTAGCCCAAAGTTCTAGCATCATCCATGCACAGTCTAAGAAAGAGAAAGCACAGAGCATGTATGAGAATGAAAATCAGCCCACTGAATCCATTATTCTGAGGTTGAATGCTATGAATATGGAGAAGAGCGTGTCTCTACCTTCTATCTCGATTTCCCTCTTTCTCCTGATTCCCACCAAAGCAAAGGGCAAATGTGTTCTCATTTGCTAGTAGCCTCTGCCTGAGACTATAATGAGCCTTCCCTGTCCCTTTTTTCAAAGAGCACGTTGGTGCCCTTGTCAGGGGGGAAAAAAATCTCATTAACAATGGCCGCCCGTCGTCATGACTACCTTTGAGGGCTTCTATGGCCAATTCTTTAGAAGACCCCTTACCAGAGGGGTTATATTCCTGCAGAAATGGGGCATCAGTTTTCCCCACACACAAAGGTGTCTTAGCCAGGAAAATCACCACCCCACTGTGCTCATAAGCTGCTTGATTCCTGTATGCTTCCATAGTTTTCAGAATAAAACTTTAATCTATTTGGTTACCTCAAATGCACAAAAGCATTGGTGATGCCTCAGTAATGAGATTATTAATAATAATTGTTTGATCAGTTCCTCTGCAAATACCTTTGTCCTCAGAAACAGCAAACCTCCTGTTATTTTTCAGCCTCAAAGACAGGAGAAAATTATCAGGGCTGCAAAGCAAACACTGTTTTATTTATAAAAATGTATTCCAACCCTGGGCTCTCTCTAGAGTATGGGGTCACTGAAATTCACTTGAGTAACAGATTCCTCACTGACAGCTTGGAAGAAAGTTACTATTTATGTCCTTTGTTAGGGGAATTTCCCCAAAGCACTACTTCCTGTACAATTGTACAGGGAGAATACCCATACACACATCACTTTAACTTAATCCTCCTATCATTAAAAATCAATGCCAAACATATTTCGTTACTTTCAGAAGAGTGCACATTAGGGTCCTGGTGTATACAGGACATCAGAAGCCACACTTAGTCCATAAACTGACACTCAAAGCTGTGTGGCTGTGACCTTTTTCATGCCAGTTGACTGCAATTGACAAGAAACAACCCTCAAATCTGTCAGCAAGACCAGTGATCACATGTAAAAATAATACCCAATTGGTACCATTCATTCACTGTGAAAAGCAGTCACTTCATTAACACTGTGTATTAGCACCTATTCCATGAAAATATCAGGCCCTACAGTAAGTTATAAGGAAAGAAGAAAGCATAAATTTGATAAAGAAGTGTCTAGTTATTTAGGGGTGACAGGCCACATTAGGGAATATACTAGACAACAAATTGAACACAACACCAATTGCTAGAATACTAAGGAAAGACTGGATAGACCATGGTGAACCAACCCAGGTAGGTCAATGTGTGAAGAACTTGCTAGCTGGAGAACTTCCTGAGGATGGAGACGATGACCCTATGTGTGTCTAATCTCTGGTCCAGTGTCTGGCACTTGAGGCCCAATAAATAGTTGCACACTGAGGAATATATTTAAGAAGTGAATAAATGCATTCCTACATGAGTGAATGATTTACAAGAATTGGGAAGGAAGTGCTTAAATAACTATTGAAGAAAATACTGTTTAAATTAGCATTGGAGAAAAGTGAGTGCCAAGCAAAAAAGTTAGCTAAGAGAACTCAAGCAAACTGAATCCTTTCCAGGGTCATGATCATATTCATTCCCTTGCAATCTCATGTAGCCAACCCAAGTAACTTATCCTTGGATCAGAGCTCCCAGGGTTGCTCCTCTGCCAGACTCAAATCCCCAAATTAACATTCTAATTATCTAAGCACTTCCTAAATCAGGAACTACCTAAATTCAGCCATCCCATCAAGGTTTGGAATATTCAAACCTCAAAATTACAGAATTTTCAGCCAAATACTTGTGTTTTCAATCTGCCGAAAAATCATCAATATGGATAAAATAAAAACTATACTAGTAACAAGGGAAACTAATAGAAACCAGTGCAAACTTCTAGGCAAATACTGAAAAGCAACCACAACAGAAATGCTGAAAGGTGGCAAATGCTAATTTTTTAGGAGACAGTGAAAGTTCACATCCTTCAGAGAGGACGTTGAGTCTAATGAGCTGCAATGGTGCTCACAAGTATTTCCTTCAGTCAAGAAACACCTGACACACACCACCATCACCAGTGGTGGATGGACAACATCCCTCAGGCTCATCCCAGTACCACAGCAGATGGCTGCCCCTGAATTCTAACTACTGCATTGAGACACTCCTTCATTTCACTCCCACAATACATCAGAGTTTTCCATACTTCTTTTTATTCTGTTTTATTGAGGCATTATAATTATACACAATGGTGGGATTCATTGTTTCCTACTCATGTATGCACATGATATAACAACAGGATTTGACTAATAACATTTCCCAGTATTTCCCCTTTCCCTCTCCTCCTCCCTTCCCCGGTTCCTTTCCTCTACTCTATCTCTTAACGATTTTCATGAGATCCTTAACACCCCACCTTTCTTTTCCTTTTTCCTCTCTAACTTTCACATATGAAAGAAAACACACAACCCTTGACTTTCTGAGTTTGGTTTATTTTGCCTAACACAACATTCTCAAGTTCCATCCATTTTCCTGAAAATGACAAAATTTCATTCTTCTTGGTGGCTGAATAAAACTTCAATCATATATATATATATATATATATATATATATATATATATGAATATATGATCATATATATGAATATATATATGCATATACATATACATATATATCATGTGGAAGATATATATATATATATATATATATATATATATATATATATATATATAATTATTCATCCATTAACAAATACCTATGCTGATTCTAGTTTGGCTATTGTGTTGCTAAAAATATAGATATACATGTATCACTATAGTATGATGATTTTAATTCATTAGGATAAACACTAAGGAGTGGTATAGCTGGGTCATGTGGTGGTTCCATTCCTAGTCTTTTGAGGAACCACCATACTGATTTCCATAGTGTTTGTACTAGTTTACAATCCCACAGTGTATAAGTATTCCTTTTCCTCCACAATCCTCTTCAGCATTTATTTGTATTCTTGATGGCTGCCAATCTAACTGGAGTGAAATGAAATCTCAGGGTAGTTTTAATTTACATTTCCTTGATTGTTCAAATATGTTGGATTTTTTATATATATATTTTACTGCCATTTGTATTTCTTTTGAGAATTGTCTGTTTAGTTCAGTTGTCCATTTATTGATGGGTTATTTGGATTTTTGGTAATAAGTTTTTTGAGTACTTTATATATTCTAGATATTAATTCTCTGTCAGAAGAATAGCTTGGAACGATTTTTTTCCATTCTGTAGACTAACCCTTCAAATTTTTAATTGTTTCCTTGGCTGTGAAGAAGCTTTTTAATTTGATGTCACCACATTATTAACTCTTCACATTATTTCCTGAGCTTTAGGGATCCTATTGAGAAAGTCATTGCCTGTGAATGTATGCTGGAGTGTTGACCCTACATTTTCTTCTAGCAGTTGCAGAGTTTCTGGTGCAATTCCTAGATCTTTGATCCATTTTGAATTGACTTTGTGCAGGGTGAGATGAGGATCTTCTACATATGGATAAATAGCTTTCCCACCACCATCTATTAAAAAGACTTTCTTTTCTCCAATGTCTATTTTTTGGCACCTTAGTCAGTGATGAGACAATTGTATCTATATGGATTTGTTCTGTATCTTCTATTCTATACTGTTGGTCTAAAGGTTCACTTTTATGCCAGTACCATGCAGTTTTTGTTACTATAGCTCCATAGTATAATTTGAAATCAGAAATTGTGATGCCTCCAGCATTGCTTTTTTGGCTTAGAATGCTTCAGCTATTCTGGGACTTTTATTCTTCCAAATGAACTTTAGGACTGTTTTTTTGTTGTTGTTGTTGTTGTTTTGTTTTGTTTTTTGTTTTTGTTTTTTTTTTTG